CGGTGCCACCGTCCCACCCATCTCTTCCAAACGGCTGGCTCTTGGCCACCTCGGGCCCTCGGGGGAAGGCTGGGAGGAGATTGTGGGACTGTGTGTCCCCCGCTTGGCTGCCCCCTCCCCTCTTCTCCACTTGCGGAACCTAGACAGACACTAGACTGGGTGGAGAAGCGACGACACGAGGTTTTCTTGTTTGTTTTGAAATGGTGGAGGAAAACCGTCATGCCTCTTCTCAGTCCGAAGCTGTCAAATATCTTGTGGGGGGTGGGGTGGGGAGCTCCTCGCCCTTTTTCTAGTCTGCAAAGAGGAAACTGAGGCAGGAGTCATGCTGGTCACGCGGGTAGTGGCGAGTGTAGGGGCTAGAATCCAGAAGTTCTGACACAAGCCGGCCTCTTTCCTCCACACCAGCAGTCCCTTCTCTCCACCCCTGCTCTCGGCCTGCAAGCCCTTTGGGCCCAGCATTGATTTTAGGGAAAGCCCAGGGGGCAGAGATTGAGGAGGGTTAGTGACCCGGGAGGGTTAGTGACCGGGAGTTTGGGCTTGGGCCAAGGCTCTCTGTCCCTAAACAGTCCAGGCTCTGGCCCTCATGCCATTCACCTCATCGCTGTATATCCACAGACCCCAGAGCCAGGAGAACCCTGAACTCTAACCCTACATCGCCCTGCCTGTAGGAGACCAGTAAGTGGCCCCACCCCCTGGGTTACGGGCTCCTGCCTCTGTGGGTGGGCACAGGTGCCCGCTCCTCACCAGCCCGGCTAATGTGGAATGACTGCCCATTTATTTGCAGGCAGAAGGGAGAGCTTTGGGAGGGAGGGGCTGTGGCAGGTTGGAGAGAGGCGATCTCTCACTCCTGTGTCATGCTGTTCCGGCCTTTTTTGCCCCCTTCCCCTTTGAGCTGCTGACCTTGGGACTTTAGCTGAAGGTGACAGTCATTTGTCATCTCTGTTCCTTGGTCTCATTGCGTTAACCAGTCCTCGAGCCTCAAGTTTTACCCTCTCCCTAACTAGGAGTGTGGGGTGGCCCCTAAATATAGCTGGGAAACCTGAGCTGCCCTCTTGCCCCACCCCGGGGTTTCCATCCAGGATGGGTGTGTTGAGGGGACAGCCTGGGTGGGTGGGTGCAGTCTAGAGAGCGGTAGTGTCCTGACTCCATGCCCTCAGCTCCTCCTCCCACTCAGCCTGGAAATGGAGTAGGGGCAGGGGCAGGGGCTGGGAGGCAGGAAGGGTACTGTGTGTGCCCTGGGGTCCCTCCTGGGTCCCTCTGTCCCCTGCACTGCTCTGAAAGAGGGAGCCAGACATTCCCAGAGATGTGAGGGTGTGGATGTGGAGACAACCTCCCATAGCCTTGTTTCTTCCGCCTGCCCCTGCCAGGCCACCATGGCGGAGCTGCAGGAGGTGCAGATCACTGAGGAGAAGCCCCTGCTGCCAGGGCAGACGCCGGAGATGGCCAAAGTTAGTGGGCACCCTTTGACGCCCCAGCATCGTTCCAGACCCCCAAGCATCTCCTTCACCTCCTGCCTGCCAGCGTCCACTGACTTCATTCTAACCCACACCACTTCTTGCTCCACCTCTGCCCATGCCTCTCTCCCAACCCACTGCCATCGCCAGGCCAGGCCCCCATCCTGTCACTACACTAACCTTCATCCTCTCCCTGTTTCTTTTTGTCACCCCTGCCCCCTCTGGTCTTTCTTTATCTGTGTCTGTCTCTCCGTCTGCAACTCTGTTCCGTGGTTGTGCGTTTCCATGTCTGTGTGTCTCTCTAGGAGGCTGCGTTAGCTGCCCGAATCCTCCTGGACCAGGGACAGGTAACAGTTTGGGGCAATCCCAGGGTGATGGAGGGGCCCCTACCTGGTTCTTTTTCTTCTTTTCCAGATCTTTCCCGACTCTACCTTCCGCTCCTTGTTGCTTTCTTTTCTGTTCCTGGAACTCCTTGATGCTCCCCGCTCCTCCAACATCGAATGCATGCTGCACACTCACCTTTTCCTAAGCTCTCGATCCTTCTTTCTCCTCACCCATCCCTCTCTGAATCTCACACAGCCCTTTCTCCTGACCTGAAAAAGGTCTCTCTCAGCTTGGCTTCAGCCCTGACAGTAACCCATCTTCCTGTAGACTCACTCAGTGGAGACACCTTACGGCTCAGTCAGTTTTACTGTCTATGGCACCCCCAAGCCCAAACGCCCAGCGATACTCACCTACCACGACGTGGGACTCAACTGTAAGAGGCTCCACTCCCAGCCCCCCACTCCTTTCTGGGGAGAGATTGGGGAGTGGGGAAGGCTAAAAGCCCAGTGTGCGGGTAGGGGCTCAGCAGGGAAAAGCCCCTTCCTATTCTGACCCTGGCAGGAGAGAAAGAGGTTGGGTTTCGACTCGGGACACTGTTCCCTGCCTGACTCTACTGTTGAGACCATGTGGGTTTTCTTTAGATAAGACCTGCTTCCAGCCGCTGTTTCAATTTGGGGATATGCAGGAAATCATTCAGAACTTCGTACGGGTTCATGTGGATGCCCCTGGAATGGAAGAGGGGGCTCCTGTGTTCCCTTTGGGGTGAGAATTAGGTCCTTATCCTGTCACTAGACCTTGAGGCTCAGGGTCGGTGTAGGGAAGGTTGAGCCAGGAGAGGAGGGTAGAGGGGAGGATGATTTGGGGAGAGGATGAGCAGGGAATTTTGAGGTGGGAGGAGTGGGGACAGGTTGGTATATATATATTTTTTTTACCATTTTTCTCTTCCCCAGGTATCAGTACCCATCTCTGGACCAGCTTGCAGACATGATCCCTTGCATCCTACAGTACTTAAAGTGAGATGCCTGGCGACCCTGCCACACTAGAGTGGATCACTCAACCCAAGGAGACCACTAGAATTTCTGTGCCCAACGTAGTTCCGGGGCTAGATCTGGTCTCTGGTCTAGATATGACTTTCCTCCTCTAATGCGTCAGCCCCGATGGCTTAGACTCAGCAGGGGTCCTCAAACTTTTTAAACAGGGGGCCAGTTCACTGTCCCTCAGACCGTTGGAGGGCCAGACTATAGTTAAAAAACCCCAACTATGAACAAATTCCTATGCACACTGGACAAAAACACCTGGCAGGGCCGAATAAATGTCCTTGGCAGGCTGCCTGTGGCCCACGGGCTGTAGTTGGAGGACCCCTGGCTTAGAGAAAGGAGGGTGGGTTTGGAAAACTGGCCAGAGGCAGTACAGTCACCGGCATGCTTGGCCTGACTTCAGGCTGAGGAGGGACTTCTTTTATCAGGCAGCTAGGGAGCCAAAGGAAGGGGTGACATAATACCTGAGGAACTGGATAGACTTGTCTGACCCCCTACATCCCTCACACGCACCTGAAGAACTGGGAGCCCAGAGAGAGAGAGAGAGCTGGAGGAGGAAGGGAAAGCAAGAGGAAGCTTCCGGGGTATGCAGGGGAGGGGGAAGGCCCTGATGTGCCCCGGGCTCTGCTCTGGCATGGCTCTCCCTAGGGATCGTCACCCTGGACTGCTCTGGTTGACGGCTTTGCCCTTTCTCCTGTTATCCCTGCTTCCCCTAAATGGCTGTGTCCTGTTGTACATCTGGCTTAAAGTTCCCCTTTTCCCATTACTCGAGAGGAACCAGGAACTAAGACAGAACAAGTTGAACTAGCTCCTGAAAACTGAGAGGGGCCAAGAGCCATGTAGGGAAAGAGTGCGTCTGGGGTTGGCGGGTGGGTGGGTGTTGTTCACGATGCTGGCTCTCAAAGAGGCACCTGGGGATAGATTTGAGGGATCCACGCTGACTGCCACTGCCCATGATTAGCTCCCTAGCAGCTTCTTTCTTCAGTGTTCCCCCAAAGAAGGCGACCTTTTCTTCTTCTTTGTGACCATGGCCTTGGGAGGGGAGGGGGAAGAGTTTGATGAGGCTGGGCTCTGGGAGGTCTTGGACACCGGGGCCCCTTAGACATGCATTTCCCCCCTCACAGTTTCTCTGCCATAATCGGAGTTGGCGTGGGAGCTGGAGCCTACATCCTGTCTCGATACGCTGTAAGAAATAGAAATAAAAACGTGCAGAAGAGGGAAAGGAGGGTTTGGGTCCATGGCGGGCTGATGAAAAGAATGTTGTTTACTAACGTGTATTTGGGAAGGGGCAGTGGTTTTGAAGAAGGGGAGGTGGTGGGCCCTAGAGGAGTCCAAGAGTGGGCGGAACTCAGGCTGCACCTCTCTCTGATTTGCCTTCCTCTGCTTTCAGCTGACCCACCCAGACACAGTGGAGGGCCTGGTCCTCATCAACATTGACCCCAATGCCAAGGGCTGGATGGATTGGGCAGCCCACAAGGTTTGGAGGGGACGGCGTGCTGAGATCCAGGGTGGGGGTGCCCATGTAGCGGTTCAGTTTGAGCTCCATCCGCATAACTGAATGGCCTCCACATTTCAAGGAGAGGGTGGTATGGCAGGGTACTCACTGAGATGGGGCTGGTGACTCTTCCCGGGTCTCTTCTTCCCATAATGCCCAGAGTCATGTCTCACTTACCCTCATAGTTAACTGGCCTCACCTCTTCCATTCCGGAGATGATCCTCGGACACCTCTTCAGCCAGGTACGCGGCTGTGGAGGCTGAAGGGAGTGGAGGGGATCAGCAGGGACATGCGTGCTTGGGGCGACTGCCTTAAGGGGGGCAGAATCCCAAGAAAGGAGGCTTGCAGCATTTCATCCAGCATCTGTGGGCTTCTCTTTTCACCCCCGATTTTCCTCCCTCTTCTTGGCGTTAGGAAGAGCTGTCTGGAAATTCTGAGTTGGTACAAAAGTATAGAAATATTGTCACACATGCACCCAACCTGGAGAACATTGAACTGTATTGGAACAGCTACAACAAGTGAGTGGGCATTACGTGCGTGTGAGTGAGAGATAGAGAGAATGTAGAAGCAGTAACCAGGGACCAGATGAAAGCACAGAGAAGAAAGGCGAGGAAGTACTTGATGTGCCAGGAGGGCAGGGTTTAGTGTTCAACTGGAGTAGCTGCAGGTCAGACCCAGTGGGAACATTTGTGAGGGGCAGTCCCCTTTCTCTGGCTTATGTCCTTTGGAGTTTGTAGTACCAGAAGTAAGATGAGCCCTTGTCTCATGATCTTCCAACCCTCTTACTGCCCTCTATTCAGGATGGCAGCGACTACAGGGGCCCTGCTTAGGCCCTGCCTGCCATCTCCCCATAGCCCCCACTGTTAGTCACCAATATGGGACCATTATTTTAGGGAGAGAGACTCACATGAGGAAGATAGCTTTTATCTTGATGGACAGCACTGCCGGCCTAAACATCTCCTTTTTAAATTCTTCTCTAGCCGCCGAGACCTGAACTTTGAGCGTGGAGGTGATATCACCCTCAAGTAAGGCTTTAAAAGATCAACTTGTTCCTCAATTCCCTGCCTCTTTCCTAGATGTTTAGACTCTTACAAGAAAGAGGAGAGTCTTTTGTTGGGGGATTTCGTTGTCATTTCTCATCCCATCCTTTTTGGCATATCACAACCCCTACATGTCTTCCGCCCCTCCTTTAAATCTGGGTGGGGCCAGTATGATTCAGGAGCATCTTACTGCTTCCTCTCTGCAGCCAGGCATTTTCCCAGGTGCTGTTGTGGGAAGTCGGAGGCCTGGTAGCGTAGTGGTTATGTGTTGGACTGCTAACCGCAGGGTCAGCAGTTCAAAACAACCAGCCACCCAGCAGGAGAGAGATAGGGTTCTCGACTCCCGTCAATCGTTACTGTCTTCGAAACTCACAAGGGGAAGTTCTACCCTGTCCTATTGACTCAGTGGTAGTGAGTCTGGAGTTTTGGACTGTGAGGAGAGGTGGGTGATGTAGTGCCAGGTACCAGGGGCTCACTGCCTTCTCTCTGACACTGTGTTCCAGGTGCCCTGTGATGCTGGTGGTAGGAGACCAAGCACCTCATGAAGATGCCGTGGTCAGTAGGGATGTTTATGGTGGGGGAGGGTGGGTAAGAATTCTGAGTGTGGTGGTCAAGGGTGTCTCGCCAAGGGGAAAGCTCTGTTTGGAAGAGGAGGAGTCTCTGAGTAGTGGAGAGTTTGATTCCTGGCAGGCCGGGAGGTGGCAGGCAATGGGCACTAAGAAAGAGTCTAGGCCCCTGGATCCCTGGGAGGTGAGGAGCTGCAGGGCGTGTGACTCCACTCATTCAGCCTCCTCCTGATTTTAGGTGGAATGTAACTCAAAACTGGACCCCACCCAGACCTCTTTCCTCAAGGTCAGTAACCCTACTCCAGGCCACGCCTGTCTGCTGGCCCTGGTCCTTAGCCATATATTCCTTCTGGATTCAGCTTCCAGGCCTCCGGGGCCTGCATGGGAGGGAGTGGGATGTATGAAGGAAAAAACAAAAACCAGCCAACAAAACCTGAAGGGCTGGGGGGGAGGCAGCTGGGGAAGAGAGACTCTCTCCCACCCCTGTGCCTGGCTCATGTCCTTACGTGTGTGTCATCCTTTCTGGGTGGCTCTTTGCTGAACAGATGGCTGACTCTGGAGGTCAACCCCAGTTGACTCAGGTGAGTACCTCTGCTGCCTGTTGGGTGGGATATTGTGGCCTGGAGTTCTGCCCTTTACCTCAACACCCCAGGCCCCCATGTGCCATGACCTTGGGCTCCAGCTTACCCTCTAATTCCACCTCTCTGAACTTCCTCTTCTTGTACTTGCACAGCCTGGCAAGCTGACTGAAGCTTTCAAGTATTTCCTGCAGGGCATGGGCTACAGTGAGTATTTGTGTGTGTGTGGCTATTGTGAAGCTGAGAGATTACTGCACAGTTGCTGTACAAGGAGGAGGGATGGGAACTGAGGGGTTGGACCTTCTTAAGCCAATCCTTGGATTCTCCAACATCTACAGAGTCAATTGACATCTTGGCTCTAGTTACAACTCTCGCTCCACCCCAACACCCTGCTCTGAGTTGCCAGCCTCCCTCTCCACCTCCGCTCTGACTGCCTGTCTCCCCTTCTGTCTCCACAGTGGCCTCTTCCTGCATGACTCGCCTATCCCGGTCACGCACCGCCTCCCTGACCAGTGCAGCATCCATTGATGGCAACCGCTCTCGCTCTCGCACCCTGTCCCAGAGCAGCGAGTCTGGGACTCTCCCTTCAGGGCCTCCGGGCCACACCATGGAGGTCTCCTGCTGAAGGACCCTTGCTGTCCTGGTGTGGGACCCAACCCTCCCCTCCCTCAGAACTAACCTGGGAGGTGCCCGAGGGCACTGGGCCAGAGTGAGCAAGGGAAGACGGGCAGATCACTGCGGGGAGACAACGTTGATCTTTGATTGCTACCCTAACCTTGACCTCTAACCTGTGATTCCCCCTCTCCCCCCAGCTCCTGGGAGAGAAGCCCTACTATTTCGTACAGATCCAGACTCCTAAATTGCACCCCTCTTGCATTCTGGTGTACGTGAAGAGGGAGTACGCCCTCCCTGTTCCTGAGGTGTCCTTAGATGATGGACAAGGGCTGTTGTCCTTGTCCACGGTGCCTCCATCACACTCTCCCTACCCAGCTCCTATTTGCAAAGAGGAGAGACTTGGGTCTAGGGCTCTATTCACCCAAGCGGATGTGGCTTCTTATTAACCCTTAGCCTTCTGAAGGGAGTGGGTCTGAGTGCATGTGCACCAGGGGGAGGCTTGTTGGGGTAGTGGCCCTTGAGCGGTGACAGAAGAGCATGCAGTCTAGGAAAAGGAAGTTAGACTCAGGTGGTGGGCAAAGGAAGACTACAGGGGATGGGGGTGGGGGTGGGGAGGCCTGGAGGTAGGACACTAGAAAGGGGCCTGAGGCCTTTGGCTGTACTAACTTTGGTAGCTGTCAGTATGTGTCTAGTGTGGGGTGGGGGAGGGAGCCAAGCTTGGGCCTGGCTGCTTGGGGCTTGGCATAGGGGTAGGAAGGGCTGCCCTGGGTCACTGACCACACTGTGATATGTGTGGAGGGTGCCTTCCTATCTCCCACAACTCCTGCTGTAACAATAAACTGTAGAGGAAGCTGAGCACCGTTATTATTCTTTGTCTGCGTATGTCTGCATCTTGCCCCTTCTGTTGTTCCTCATTCGGACCCAATCCTCCCTTTCTCTTCTTAAAGTGGTAGAAGCCAAAAGAGAGCTGATTTAGCATAAACACTTAATACAATGTGACCATGCTGCCACTGGTCCCTGTTGCAATAGAATGGCGTTGCCCTTGGATCTGACTTTCAAGCCAGTAGTTTCTTGGGAGAGAGGGGACACTCAGATCTGAGAAGACTTCCTTCTCTGTTATAGGTCATTATGTAATGCCCTGGATATGTGAGATACCCCCAATGTCATTGTCTTAGAGGATGGAGTACACAAAACTGATTCAGGTGACCATCCCCCCCAGGGTTCATCCAGGCTCTGTTTGGATAATTCCACTTCATCCACATCATACAGTTGCTATACGGTTGGGCTGCTCACAGTCCACTCCAGTCTGAAGACGCAGGAGGGTCATAGCTATTCCCCTTGGGAATTCCTGCTCCCACATGGGACACAAGAGACCAGGGAGCTAATTAGAAGATTTTTTTCTGAGAGACTTTCAACAAATACGAACACTTATTAAGAAGATTTCAAGTATTTTGCAGCTGCTGCAGGCTGATTCTTGGGCTTTTGAGGCACAAACTTAAAGACGAAAAGGCAATTTGTGGCTTCGTTGGCAGGGGTACTGTGGATAGAATATTCCTAAGGTCACTGCTCAGACCCGTTGATGGCAACTCCCCAGGCAATTACACCCTTTCTTTCTTCAGCGAGGCTGAGCTGAGGGCTGAGGCAGGAGGGTGGCCAGAGCAGATGCTCTGATGGACAGGGAAGTGGGGCAGGGAATGCATGTGCAGTCTCCCGCAGGACCAAGTCCATTTTAAATGTAGTAGGCAGGGATTACAGGCAAGGTAGGGGTGACCGACAGGGGTGACGACCGGGGTGATGGAGGAATTGGACGGTTACCTAAAGCAGAGTGACCACACACAGGGCAGGCAGCAAAGAGTGCTTGAACACCACAGAAAAGAAAACAAGGCATCCCGAGAACCACTGGAGCCAAACACGAGGACAAGACAAAGAAGTACAATCCTGCAGTCGCTGTTGTGTGTTGTGGTAGGGCAGATGAGGATTTGTTGCACAATTGCCTGCACAGAGAACACACCTAGCAGGGCCACCTTCAGAAATGGGAACATACTGCATTTCGGGGTCTATCAGTGTGTGTAGATTTATGCAGCAGGTAGGCGTGTGAGATGCACGGTCACTGTGTGTACTATCGTCTCTCCTGTAGGCGTCCCCGCATCACCAATCTGAGGGAGAGAGGGGGCCTTTGCTTGGCGTGAGGTTGAAGGGGTTGCTTGCCCTTGGCTAACCTCCCCATTTTGTGTCTAGCCTATGGGGATCCAGTGCCTCCCTGTGGTTGGCCTGTCGGGACTCTCTCCAGTTCCAGCTCCTTCCCTACTTTTTCTGGGGTTCTGCCCGGCAGCTGGATAGGAAGGTCATAAGGCCATGGCCTGCTGCCCCTGCCATTGTTAGGACCAGAGGTCAGAGGCTTAGAGGAGGGAGTTGTGGTTGGCTTCACAGACCCAGAACTACCAACTCCTTTTTGTCCCTGAGTAAGCTTTAGGACCCCTGCTGCTCCCTGCCCTCTCTTTCTCTAGGAGTGTAGCATTTCCCAGACTTCAGGGACCCCAGCCCTGAAGGGGCTCAGTGGGAAGAAGACTGACAGCAGAGGCTGCAGGAGAAGGGCCCTGGGTGCGAGTGCAGGAAGAGAAGTGAGGGGCGGCTCTCAGAGGGCGCCTGTGCAGCAGGTTGGCAGCAGCAGCAGCAGCAGCAGCAGCAGCAGCAGCAGCAGCAGCAGTGATGCGGGAACACTGGCGAGGACTCCTCTCCCGGTTCGGGGGACCTGCAGGTGCACATGGCTAACCTGCAGGGCTGCTGGTAAAAGTCCAATGGTTTGAGTGTCCCCAGAGACGTCTCAGAAGTCTGGTGACACACGTCGGAAAAATTAGCCACGAAAACCCTTTGGAGCACAGCTATCCTCCGACACCAGGGGTCTCAGGGACAGGAATGGACCCCTCATGGTCAGGGGAAATGCAGCAGTGCTTCTAGGGAGACCTTTCAGGGTTCACTGGAAAGCGAGTGGCGCTTCCCATATGTGGCCAGGGGAGAAGTGATGGGAAATGGTGCCTGGGAACATGAAACGCAAGCATTAAAATATGACACCACTGGCCCTGGGCACATCCTCCATCCAGGTCTCTACTCTTTGGCAGGCCATGTTTTCATGTCTCTGATGGTCTCTGAAGAATTCTGTGCTCTTTGATTGACCCCACATCAAACAGCTGTTGTGGCATTCTGGAGGGGCTCCAACTGGGTCCCTTCTCAGTATCTTTCGCCTTTGAGGAACAGAAAGAAGTTGGAAGGGTGACGATCGGCTTTAGTGTGGATGGGGAAGCCTTCCCAATGGAATGCTCATCGGTCAGCCCTTGCCCTCCTCAAAGAATGGGGGGTGCATATGTGCGGATGATGGGGAACAAATCCCCAAGGGATCTTTTCTGGCCTTGGCTCACCATTGCAAGATTCCCAGCATCTTTTCATAACAAGCCCCCATGGCTGTCCTGTGTTCTTTGAGGAAATCTTTCAAGGTGACAATCCCCCTTCAGGAAAAATCAGTTGCCCAAATGGTCATAGTTGATCTCTCTGCCTTGAATGTAATTGGCTGAACTGTTCCCCTGGGATCCCCTGGGAAGGCACTGTTGGGACTGAGCCTTTATTTAAAGGCTCACTAACAAGAACAAGACGAGTATTACTGAGAGAACTTGTCTGCAACGGTCCCCAGGGCAGAGACATATTTAAACTCAGTCTGTTTGGAATAAACCCCTGTATGTATAAACTGGGATCCTAGCAGCAATATATTTTTACTTACCCTAGTGAAATAGTTTATTGTGCCAGCCTGGCCCGTAAACACAAGTAGGATTAACTGAAGGGCAGAGAGATAAATAACTTGGTGAGTCTCGCCTTTCTTGTCTCTCACTCTTTGATCATCGGACCAGTGTGCGGCTGCCTTGCTTGTCCTGTGCCTCAATTTAAAGACTACACTACCTGTGGGAC